GATGGCTGTCAACTAAAAATCAAAAAATAACCACTGCCAATGAAACTATGGAGAAAAGGTACCCTAAATACACTGTTGGTGGGAATGGAAGCTGGTATAGCCATTGTGGAAGACAGTGTGGAGATTCCTCAAAAAATAGATCTGCCGTATGATCCAGTCATCCCATTTCTGGGAATATACCCAAGGGAAACGAAATAAGCATGTGAGCGAGTTATCTGTACCCCTGTGTTGATAGCAGCTCAATTCACAATAGCTAAGGTAGAGAATCAACCCGTATTTCCATCAACTGGTAACTCGTTAAAGAAAATGTGGTACAAATATACACAATGAAATACTACTCAGCCATAAAAAAGAACGAAATTCTGTCTTTTGCAACAAATGTATGCAATCGGAGACCATTATGCTTATGAAAGAAGGCAGGTCCCAAAAGACAAATAGATGCTTTCTCCGGTTGGTTGTAGCTAATATATAGAGTACAAAAAACATAATGTATATCAAGCTAAACTGACATCTTATGATTTGATTGTTGTCTACAGCTCTTGTCTCTACCCTTGTAAAACAGAGATCTATCTACATTTTACTTGTGGAGATCTTTGGTTAAAGGAGTTTTGAACCGGTGATTGTAAAGTAAATTGAAATTTTAGTCATTGCAAAAAATTTAAAGAAAAAAATAAGAGAAAGGTAGGAGGATGGAATAAGGGAGAAAATGTTGTATTCTTAGAGTCTTATCTATGAAATTCATGAAATCCATTCTCTATAAATAAATTAAAAAGCAAGTCAAAAATGAACTCAAAAAAGAAATATTTAAACACAAGCTTAATGGCTTGTGATACCTTTCTTACCCCTTGGCCTATTTCTACATCATCAGGTATATCTAGATCAAACAACTTATAAGTTGTTCCAGATTAAATTAAAATTGTATTCTTAGAAATGCCATTAAACATCTCCCTCATCTTTTATTCCATTGTTCATATTCCATGTTTTAGCAGAATATCTGAGGCTGCGCAGACTGACAAATGGGCTTCAGGACTGCGGGCACTTGGACGGCCGTTAAGTGGTGCTTTGGGATGCTCCCACCCCTACCAGAGTGCAAGTGCTCAGGTCACGGCTCCAGTCTGGAGTCTACGTTGCGGCTACTGTGCAGCCTGGGAGGCAGCCGATGATTGCTTGAGGAATCGAGTCTCTGCCACACACATCGCTTCAATTCCCAACCCCTGACTTCAGCCTGGCCCATGCCTGGCTGTGCAGACACTTTAAGAGTGAACTGGTGGGCCAGCGTCGTGGCTCAATAGGCTAATCCTCCACCTGCGGCGCCGGCACACCGGGTTCTAGTCCCGGTTGGGGCGCCAGATTCTGTCCCGGTTACTCCTCTTCCAGTCCAGCTCTCTGCTGTGGCCCGGGAAGGCAGTGGAGGATGGCCCAGGAAGACCTTTCTCTCTCTCTCTCTCTCTCTCTCTCTCTCACTGTCTTACTCTGCCTGTCCAAGAAAAAAAAATGAACTGGTGGATAGGAGATAACTCTGACTGTGTCTCCTTGTCTCTAGGCCTTTCAAACAAGAAGGGCAAATGCTTTACAACTTCAAAAAGTGTATTTGAAAGAGGCTGGTGGCATATGTTTGGCCAAGGAATTCAGACACAAGTTGAGATGCCCATGTCCCTTATTGGAGTTCCTGCATTGGTACCTGGCCGCATCTCATGACTGAAGAACCCTCCCGGAGCAGGCCTTGGGAGACGGCTAGGATGGCTCAGAAATGATATGACTGCCACCCTCCTGAGAGCTCTGGGTTGTGGTCCTGGCTCCCAGCTCTGGCCTGTGTGCAAGCTCGTGTGGGCATTGTGGAGTGAGTCGGTGGAAGGGAGGGAGTGCTGTCTCTCTCCAGTCCTCCCACCTCCTCTCTGTCACCCTCTCCCTCTATCCTCTCCCCTCCTCCCTTCTCCATCTCTGTCACTCTGCCTCTATAATTTAAGATGCTTACTTAGAACACACACATACACTCATACACACACACACACACACACACACACGGAGCCTTGAAAGCCGTGCTCAGACTGCCTCAGAGAGAATGGTCATCAGGGAGCCCATGTGATGTGACCACCGTGGAGTCAGGACCCAGAGAGCAGGGAAGGGCAGTTGTCCTCTCTCAGACAGGTCTCTCGTGACAGCTCCCTGGGTCCCGTGGGAGCTATGTTAATCCCTTCAGTGGCAGCCCACGGTGACCTCATTACTTCACGCTTGTCTCTGCCTCTTAAAATTTCCTCTTCCTTCGCTACACTGGGGACCAAGCTTCCATCCCAGAAACGTTTTGGCAACACACTCAGACTGCACCACACAGAGCACTGTCCCCCCAACTTCTAGAATTCATAATGGGAGATACTGATGCGGTGAAACCCTGCATCACCGCAGATGGCGCTGCTTTTCCTCAGGGGTCACTCAGCCGCACGGGCGGGTTGGCAGGGGAGGGGAGGGAGAGGCGGTGTTCTGTTGTTCAGCAGGGAGACTCGTAGGGTCTGCAGCTCGAGAGAAAAGTTGTGTGTGAGCATGGGGGGCAGTGGGCAAGGGCGGACAGAGAGACAAGGAGAGAGAGAGAGAGAGAGAGAGAGAGAGAGAGAGGGAGGCAGTGACTGAGTAGAAGGAATCAGTTCTTACGTTGCCCAGCATGGTGGAATTTGCTGCAGTTCACAATAATCTCTTTTGTGAGCAAGTAGAAAAGGGGAGTTCAAAGGACCCAAAACTAAAGTGATGATAAAGAGAGGAAAACTTTACCTTGATTCGGTGAGTACCTGTTGTCCACATTTATTGATCTGTCACACCATAGTCAATAACTATTGGCTGTTACTAAGTGCTGGTCTCCGACTGTTTCAAATGTTTAATGAGAGGACAGTGCTGCAGGATCTGTCTTGTTCCTCACACACTGAACACGCGGATGGAAGTGGAGTACGTGCAGGCCGAGCCCTGGAACGAAGCCCGCACAGTGTCGGTGCTGCTTGGTGCTGGGTCAGTCGATGCTGAAGGGTCTGCAGCAGTGTTCCAGAAGCTTCTTCCAGAGCCGGGCCTCGCGGGGAGTGACGGAGGGGAGGGAGGAAAGGCAGATTTCTCGTCCATGTCTGTGCCTTTTACCTCCACTACACCCATGCTGTTTCTCTTGTTGTGAACATGGAATTTTCTTTCAAACAAAATTTGATAAGATTAAATATAATAAATACATAAATTATATGTAAATATATATATTGTTTATGTGATTATATAAAGAAAATAATATACATATTATGAATATAATCATGCTATTTTGCTCCTGGCCTAAAGGGAGAGCAGTCCAGAGGAGACACGGTGGTGATGGCCCACATCTCCTTGTTGATGCCTGGGAAGAGCTAGTGGCTGGGACTGAGTCCACAGCGAGGAGCTGGCGTCGTCTGGAGACACCGTCGCTCAAGACCAGCAGTGGAGCTGGGTTCAGACGGAGGGCTGCAGGAAACCTCCTGTGTGGCCTTGCCGTCCTGCAGCAGGGGAGCCCTGGGCATGCAGATTGCTGATCTGGTCAAGGGCTCCACAGGTGAGCGACACCAGTGACCTGGCAGAGGCCCCTGGCATTTCCATAGAACTCTGGAAGTCCCACAGAGTGCCTTCCACACGTGGGACAGTGCTGGGCAAACCCAGGGGCCGCTCTGGTTCAGAGGGAGGAGAGACGCCAATGAACATGTGTAAATCAGCCATGCGCACAGACTACTTTGTTCTGTTCCTTAACATCTGTACAAGTTATTTGCAATACAGGATGTGAGATGCATAAAACATCTGCAATGGCCTCTTGCTTCTGAACTTGACTTATGAATATATTAGTGTTCTGTGTCTTGCAGCTTATTTGGGGAAGGATGACCAGAGTCTTTAGAATAGATCTAAAACTTCAGACTTTGATGTCACTCACCACAATATTGTCTGGAATTCCAAAAATGTTCCATCAGCGGTGATCTGGGTCTTTCTGGATTTGACATTTGATAGAAGTTGGGTAACCGAATATCATATATTTTTCCTGTGTGACCCTGTCATTCAAGGCATAGAATTTATCTGCGATGTCACTGCCAATTAAAACTGAAAACAGGTGGAGGATGTAACGATGCTGAGCAAAGAGCAAATATAATTTCGTTGTCCTCCAAGACACATATCGACAGTCGGTTTCTGCTGTTAGGGTTACCTGAAAAATGCCTTCCTCTGTGGGCCTCAGTGAGTACCACGCAGAGAATCCAGGAACTCAAAGGGGAGAATGTAACGCAGAAACTGTCGGTCTGCTCTACAAATGAAATACCGGCAAGATAATAAATGGTGCCTTCAGCCTCTTGCTTCCAGACTGTGCAGACGGGGCGTTCAAGTAGCAGATTCTTCCATAAACTTGAACCTCTTTCCATGGCTGTGCTACTACCTGGTTCCCTTTTCAGTTGACTTTAAATGACAGTGGGGCAAGCAGTTATGTCCTTTGCATTTCCATAAAATGAGAGTTTTGCTCAGTCTTCAAAAACCACAAAAATTGTTCAGTAGCATGCAGTTTAACTTTTATGTTTGTAAAGCTTCTATTCTTCTTGTAATTTTATTCCTTTGTTGTCTGAGAAGATAAATGTATAATTTCATTTTTTAAAGATTTTATTTATTTAAAAGGCAGAGTTAGAGAGAGAGGGAGAGACAGAGAGAGAGGTCTTCCATCCACTGATTCATTCCCCACATGGCCACAATGGCCAGACCTGAGCCTATCCAAAGCCAGGTGCCAAGAGCTTCTTCTGGTCTCCACGTGGGTGCAGGAACCCAAGCACTTCAGGCATCTTCTACTGCTTTCCCAGGCCATAAGCAGGGAGCTGGATGGGAAGAGGAGCAGCTGGGACACGAATGGTGCCCATCAGGGATACGGGTGCCATAGGCGGAGGTTTAGCCTACTACGCCACAGAGCAGCCCTACAACTTGCATTTTTTATTCAGCATCTCATTAACAATGTTTAACTCATTAAAAATAAGCTGCAGAGTCATAGCATTAAGCTGTAAGATGCATTGGAATGTGTTGAATCTGGCTGCTCCTACAGAATGCCTGTATTTCCCTCATCTCAGTTTTTGGTTGTTATAATATATAATGCTGAAATCAATGTTCTTTCCTATAAATGTGTGGCACAGCGGGTCAAACCGCCACCTGCAATGTGTGCATCCATATTGGCGCTGGTTCACACCCTGGCTGCTCCACTTCCAATCCAGATTTCTGCTAATGGCCTGAGAAAAGCAGAGGAACCTGGCCCAAGTGCCTGGGCCCCTGCCACCCACTGGGGACACTGGATTAAGCTCCTGGCTTTGGACTGACCCAGGCTTGACTTGTAGCAGCCATCTTGGGAGTGAATTGGCAGATAGAGACTCGATCTCTCCCTGCCCCGCTTTGTAACTCTAGCTTTCAAATAAATTTTTAAAAGAATAATAAAATAAGAGACATAAAATTGTACATGTTTAACAGGCACTATGTATGTATGGGCAAACAAAATCCCTAATGCACACTCATTGGAGGAAATGGTACCAATTTTGCCATCTTGTTCTCTTGTGAATGCTGTTTAAACTTTATGTGTCAAGGTCATGGTCGTTGCCTCCATCTTCTGAACTTTAAGCCTGAAACACCGTCTCCAGCCCCACGTGACAGTATCGTGTGGATTGTTGGAGGACTTCCTGGTCCACCGGGGCTGCGCGGCTCTGGGCGCCCCTGACAGGCCGCTCTCCTGCAATCCACGACCCCAGACCTGGGGACTGGCCCGCGCGGCCGAGGTCGAGGGCGGTGTCCCTCGTGCAGCGGGGGCGGTTGTGCTGGAGCGAGCTCCGAGGCGGGCGTCCCAGGGCCACGCGGGATGTCCTCTCCCTGCCCGGCGGGAGGGAGGTGGTCCAGGTCCGTGCACCTCCATGCTCCTGTCTGGCTCTGCCCCTGTACGTTAGTGCCGGTGGTCAAGCGCCCCCCATCGTCCACTTTTATATCGTCCAGTGAGGCCGGCCAGGTGGCGGGTCCTGAGCGGGAGGTGGGGGTGGGGGAGTGGGGGCCCAACGGACGCTCGGACGGTTACAGTTGGGGCTGATTGACCGGTGCGTGGTAGGAGTTAGCGGTTGGGTGGGTGATAGGGCGTGAGGCTTGCTGTGGTAAAATAATGCTTATGTAATTCATTTTCTTTATATAGAAGTTATAGTGATTAATATACAGATACTAATGTGTGTAATCACAGATACTAAGATACGTTGAATATATATAACAAATATGCATTGTATAAATCTTAGTATTTATATCAGAATATTAGAATGCTATGATTATTTGTAATTATTAACATTGTTATAAATACTAGAAACCCACAGAGGCAGGACCTGCAGCTGCGGAGAGTTGACTGCATTGTTCCAAAGCTGCAGCCCTCACTGAACAGGTAAGCTTAAGTCATTCCATCTGCCACAGCCACCATTTGGCTCCAAGTGTTTGATGGAAACCAGCGAGAGCCGGCACAGTGGCTCACTTGGTTAAACCTCCGCCCTCGGTGCTGGCACCCCATATGGGCGCCGGGTTCTAGTTCTGGTTGCCCCTCTTCCAGTCCAGCTCTCTGCTGTGGCCCGGGAGGGCAGTGCAGGATGGCCCAAGTGGTTGGGCCCTGCACCCACATGGGAGACCAGGAGGAAGCACTTGGCTCCTGGCTTCGGATCCACGCATCGCCGGCCATAACAGCTATTTGGGGGGTGAACCAATGGAAGGAAGACCTTTCTCTCTGTCTCTCTCTCTCACTGTCTAACTCTGCCTGTCAAAAAAAAAAAAGAAAAAAACCAGTGAGTGTGCATTGCACTGAATGGGAAACAAGCCCACCTGAGTCCACCCAAAGGATGAACTCAGAAACAAGAAGGAAACAGTAGGCAAGGTGCTTATTGATACCTGGTCATTTTTAACAAAGGGTTTACTTATTTGTTTATTTATTTATTTGAGGGGCAGTTTCAGAGGGAAGGAGAGATAGAAAGGTCCTCCATCTGCTGGTTCACTCTCCAGATGGCTGTAAGGGCCAGAGCTGGGCCAATCTGAAACTAGCAGCCAGGAGCTTCTTCTGGGTCTCCCATGTAGGTGCAGGGGCCCAAACGATGGGGCCATCTTCCACTGCTTTCCCAGGTGCATTAGAAGGGAGCTGGATCGGAAGTGGAGCAACCAGGACTTGAACCAGCGCCCATATGGGATGCCAGGCTGCAGATTAATCTGCACCACAGCACTGGCCCTAGGGATTCATTTTGTGACACCATCAGAATGAAGAGATATATTTCCTCTTTCATTTATTAACGTTTGTCATGAATAAAATGTTGAATCCCCTTAGATGTCTCTGAAATGAAAGGATTTGTTGAGTCATAACAGATGCCAGCCAGGAAGAAAGGACTGGTCTTGGACAAGTTCCAGCAGCCCTTGGCACCAGGGGTGGCCAGCACTGGAGAGCTGTGTGTCAAATCTACACAGCTGGCATATTTCACACTGCAAGTCTGGGGAGAAGAAAGTATGCATGGCTCCCACTGAGCCTGCACTGCCTACAGATAAGAGCAGTGGACAAGCACAGAGCACATCTTTAGTATTCAAGGAGAGTGCATGACTTGGTGTTGCTGGGTGAAGAATGGAGGGGGCTTGTGGTGTAGCAGGTAAAGCCACTGCCTGTGATGCTGGCATCCCGTATGAGTGCCAGTTTGAGTCCCAGCCACTCCACTTCTGATCCAGGTCCCTACTAATGTGCCTGGGAAAGCAGTGATGGATGGCCAAGTACTTGGGCTCCTGCACCTATGCGGGAGACCTAGCTCCGGCCGTTGTAGGTGTTTGGGGAGTGAACCAGCAGATGGAAGATCTCTTTCTCTATGAGTCTCCCTCTCTAGCTCTGTAACTCTGTCTTTCAAATAAATAATTTTTTTGACAGGCAGACTGGACAGTGACAGAGAGACAGAGAGAAAGGTCTTCCTTTTTGCCATTGGTTCACCCTCCAATGGCCACCGCGGCCAGTGCGCTGCGGCCAGTGCACTGCGCTAATCCGAAGCCAGGAGCCAGGTACTTCTCCTGGTCTCCCATGGGGTGCAGGGCCCAAGCACTTGGGACATCCTCCACTGCACTCCCTGGCCACAGCAGAGAGCTGGCCTGGAAGAGGGGCAACCGGGACAGAATCCAGCGCCCCGACGGGGACTAGAACCCAGTGTGCCGGCGCCGCAGGTGGAGGATTAGCCTAGTGAGCCACGGCGCTGGCCAATAAATTTTTTAAAAAAAGGAAAAGTGGAAAGAACCCTTGATGCCCTGCTCCTGGGTGCTGAGTGGAGGCTTAATGCAGGTGTAGGAGTGGGGAGCAGCTTTTTCCTGCTGTTTCTGTTTTGGTCCCAATCTGTTCACTGGACTGCTTTTTTTTCTTTCTCCAACCTTATAAATACATTTAGGACATCTTAGAATTGTATCAGTCTCTAGACATGAGACAAGAGAATTGTATGCCAGCCTTCTCCTACTCATTCCTAATGACAGACAGAGACAAGGAAGGACAATGAGTTCACCTGGAAGGTTTAGGATATAGTGTCCGGGTCTGGGCCTATCCGTGTCCCTGGGGAGTCTCAGACTCCCACCTTGCTGTCCTGCCCCACAGGGCTGCCCTTCAAGACTGATGCCATCTCACCTGGTGCATTCGTGTACTGCCCCCAGGATAATCTCAGAGCACAGAGGGAACTCAGCCAGCTCCAACCACCCCCACTGGCACTCAAGTCTCTGAGCCCCATGGGCATTCAAACATGATTTTCCTTCTGGTGGACATCTTTGGGAAGAATGGCCGGCCCCTCACTCAGAGTGAGGTTCCTGTTGTCAGGGCAGGTTCAGCGATGAGGTCTTAGTGGCTGGTGTTAGCCAAGAGCTCCTCTATGTGGTAGCAACAGTGCACCTGGGGTGTTTATGCTAGTAGGGGAGGGGAGGACCCAGTGGCCCATGGACAAACAGATTAAGTGTGTGTGTGTATGTTAGATTACATGTGTCTTCCCGCATTGTGTGCACATTTATTTGTATGTGTACACTTTCCTATAAGCTCATGTATTTTGAGTCAGGTTTATTTCCACCTGAATTGTTTTTGAAACATATGTGTCTGTATGTCTGCGTCTCTAGAAAAAATGTCCATGAGGAGTTGTTACCCCCAGGATACTGAAGCGTGTCAGTGACAAGGACACAGCTACCCAGGTAAGGGAATAATTTTCAGTGAGTATTTGTTCAGTTATATGCATGTCTTTGGAGGTTTGTTTAATAATTACATGTGTTTACATAAGTGTATATAACCAAAGATTTTTCCAAGTGCATTATTTTTACCATGTGCACCTGTAGGTCTCAACTCCCAATTGGTAAACAGAGAGCCATCTGGAAAACTCACTGCATTGCAGTGGGAGAGGACCCAGACTTTCCAAAGTCTTAGGTCTTCCCTTGTCCTGGACTTATCCATGGGCAGTGCATGTCCCCACCCACCCCTAGCAGTTGGGCTAATGCTCGTTAGCCAGGAAGAGTGGGCCCAAAGTTAGACACACTCCTTATGCATCTCCTTGGGCTAGCCCCCAACACTCACCCTCAGACCCAGTGACATGGGCCTCCCTTGTGTCCTGCTGCCCACTAGTGCTGGTTAACCAGCCATGGAATCCACAGTGCCCCAGCATAACACGGGAGGTTTAAGGCATGCGGTTTCCAAGACTGTGAGGTGGCCCTCCAGCCAGCCTGCACGCTCTCTCTAGGCACACCAGGTTCTAGTCCCGGTTGGGGCACCGGATTCTGTCCCGGTTGCCCCTCTTCCAGGCCAGCTCTCTGCTATGGCCAGGGAGTGCAGTGGAGGATGGCCCAAGTGCTTGGGCCCTGCACCCCATGGGAGACCAGGATGAGTACCTGGCTCCTGCCATCGGATCAGCGCGGTGCGCCGGCCGCAACGGCGGCCATTAGAGGGTGAACCAACGGCAAAGGAAGACCTTTCTCTCTGTTTCTCTCTCTCTCTCACTGTCCACTCTGCCTGTCAAAAAATAAAAATAAAAAAAATACATGGTTTTCCTTCTGGGGAAAATCTTCGAAAAGCACAGTCAGGTCACACTCAGAGGGAGGTCCCTGTGGTCAGGGCTGCTGCAGTGACAACACTGGTGACTGGGGTCCTGCAAGGAACCCTGGACGCTAAGGGTCTCCTTGGATGTTTATGGCCATCGTAATTGCCAGCAGCGGAAGGAAGGGACCAGTGGTCACTGACGAGAGAGAGAGGTTGTGCTTCCTTGATGTATATGTATATTGAATTTTATATGCTCATTTTTCGTAAACTATGAACCATTGGGAACCGTAGTTTTATTTCTGCCTGCACTATTTCTGAGGACATATGTGTTTATGTATACCTTTGTGGTTAAAAAAAAGTCATAATCTCCCTCTCCCTAGGATAGTGAAGCATCCCAGGTACAAGGATATGAGTATAAAGGTCAAATTAAAATGTTCTACATTTTATAGCACATGTGAATATTTATTCAGTTATGTCCATCTGTTTCATGACTTGTTCAGTACTTGCATATGTTTACCTCAGTCAGTATCACTAAGTGTTTGCCTAAGAGGTAAATCTTGCAGTACACTCCATGCAGACCTCAGCCTTCCATTTATGAACCAAGAGACATCTGGAACCCTGGCTGGGCTGTCACGGGGCCCTTGGCTTACTGTGACCCTAGATGAACAATTAGATCCAGGCCTTGTGCACAGGAACCTGACATCTCCACCCTATGCAACAGTTAGAATATGTCGCTCCCCGTCTTCGTGGAGGAACGACACAGGACCCTGCGCTGTTCTTTTGTCTGCTCGGCCCTCCCTGGGTCTGCTGCTGGTTCTTCCCGGGTTGGCTACCGACCCTTCCACCTCCGTGGAAGGGCGGTTCCCCCTGCCACTTTCCCCACTTCCGCGGGGGAGCGGCACACCACCGGCCAGCTCTCTCGGGGGCTGCACAGGTGTTCCTTCAGATAGATGTTCCTGGTGCATGTTGTCTCTCTCCTCCTTTACAGTCCTCTTCCACCAATCCCAACTCTGCTACCCACACGCCGAGTACGCTGCTCTCCTCCAATCAGGAGCAGGTCCTACAGTTTATTGGTTGAACTGGAGGCAGCTGTGTAGAAGCTGTTTCCTCCTCTCCCAGCGCCATATTGTGGGAGAGCAGATGCATAGAATAAGTCTTAATTCCAGTAACTTAGTCTAGTCCGAGTTGCTCCCAGTTGCTCCCCACAGAATAACCCTCTTCACTCACCATTGGATGCCCTAAATTGGACGCACTCCTTACGCATCCACACGGCCCAACATGCTGCATCACAAGTCACGTTGCCCAGAAGGGATTGTAGACCAGCTGTGCATCCTGAGTGCCCCTCTGAGAGTGCAGGAGGCCTAAGACACGTGGTCTCTGCTTATTCCCCAGCACCCCAGGGAGCTGGCCCTCCAGGTGGCTATGCCGTTCTCTCCAGGACAGAGGAGTTCGAGGGCAGACCATGCTTTCAAACTGTGTGTGGCATTCAGGGGCTGGGGTCTCTCCCTGGCCCTTGGGAGCCCTCAACCTCCCTCTTGCTGTCCTACCTGGACAGTTGTCCCCACAGCCTGGTGCCACCTTACCCTATGGCTATATTTGCTTCCTCCAGGGTAACCTCAGAACACAGAGTGAGGGGGAAGTTCTTAGGGTAGACACCCAGCTCCAGCCAACCCCATCAGCACCCATGACTCTGGGTCCCCTGGGTTACTCTGTAAATGGCTGGTCCTTCTGGTACATACGATTCCAAAGTGTGCCCAGCTTCCTACTGAGAACAGGCTCCCTTTTGGTCAGGGTGGTTCAGGGACATTTCCCTGGTGATGGTGTCAGCCAAAGGCTCTTGGTGTTTATGCCCCAGACTGACTGTAGTGGAGAGGAGAGCCCAGTGAGCTATGGACAAGGACATTGTGTATATGCCATTTGTATGTGTTTGCCTTTGTTGTCTGTATATTTAATTTGCATATGCACACTTTCTTGTTATAAACTTAAGTATTTGGAAACTGAAGGTTTACTTCAATCTCTATTACTTACTTCTGTTATATATATGTTTATATATTCCCTTGTATATACATTTTTGAAATAATGATATTAATGAATTCTTCCCTCCTAGAATGTTGAAGTATCCCAGACACAACAGCACCATCACACAGGTACAGGAACAATTTCCTACATTCCTAGACTAGTGTGATAGTGACATTGTACACACGTCTTTGGGGGATCCTCAAAGTTTATGTACATTGATTTAATTGGATGTAGCCTAGGATTACTCCAAGAGCATTATTTTGGCTACAAACACCCCAAGGATTCAACCTCCCATTGATGAGCCAAGACACATCTTGAGCTCTGTGTGGATGGAGGCCACAGGGACTTTTGGCTGACCCAAACCCCTAATGCTGGACTAGACATTGGCCTTGTGTGGGGGTGCTTGACTCCCCACTGCAACAGTTGGGGTACCCTCTTCTCCCCACAGTGGAGGCTCCAAATCAGACACAGTTCTTTACAACAACATGGGGAGGTCCAACACTTACCTCTGACCTGGTCACGTGGTCTCTCACATCCTGTGTTACCCACAGGTGAGGTACCCCAGATCTGGGTCCTGAAGGCCCCTCCAGAGGTAGGGAGGGCTAAGCATGTTGTCTCCAAACAAGGCAGGTAGCTGGGCCTCCAGGTGGACTGGTCCGTCTCTAGGGCAGGGAAGTCTGGGGAGACCCAACTATCTTATGTTATGGCCCTCATGGTTGCCAGTGGGGAGAGGGAGGTTCCAGTGGCTCCTGGCCAAGGAGATTTAAGTGTCTGTGTGTGTTCCACTGTGTGTTTCTCTGAGTCGTGTGTATATTGAACTCACTTACGTCCAGTTTTTCCATAAACTCATACATTTGGGAGTCAGTTGTATTTGTCTACATTATTTACTTCGAAGAGCATCCGTGTGTGTTTGCCTGAGTTCACATCCGTTAGGAGAAAAGCACTTGCGTGACTTCCTCTTCCCTAGGACGGAGAAGCAGCCCAGATGCGAGGGCGACTGCAGTGCTGTGTGTTGAACAGATGCGCATCGATGTGCATGCACTTGTGTGCACACCCTTGCATGGCTCATGCAGTGTTCATGCACATTTACATCATGGGCAGTAAGTAAGCATGTGTCCAAGATGGTTCCTTTTCCCACAGACTGCATCCAGCTGTCAGGCTCTCACTGCTGAAGGGTCGTCGGGAACCTTGGCTGGGCTGTCACAGCCTCCCTTGGCTGACCGTTGCCCTAGACGCATGACCAGCTCCTGGGCGTGTGCAGAAAGTCACATCCTGACCCCTGTCCAGCAGCAGGGATAGCCGTCTTTGGCCAGCAGTGGAGGGCTCCAAATTAGACACTCATGCATCCGTGCAGGCTGGCCACGCTCAGCCTCTGAGCTGACGCGGTGGGCTTCTCATGGGCCATGCTGTCCAGAGGACTGGAGAACCCCACCCGTGTGGTGTGTGCAGACTGGGTGCCAGCTGCGGGAAGATAAAAGGCGTGTAGCTCTCAGGTTTTCCGTGCACATCCGTGAGGTAGCCTCCAGGTAGTCCGTCAGTCTCTACAGGACAAGGGAGTTTCAGCCAGGCTCAGCTCTCGAGTTGTGATCTGGAGCCCTTCCCCATCACTGGGAAGTTCCCTGACATCCTCCTGTGGCCCCACCATTGCAGGGCTGCCTGTGTGCCTCATGCCGTCACCCTCTTTGCTGTGTGTTTTGCTTCCAGGGTAACCTCAGAACACAGAATGAGGGAATTTCTCAGGGCCAGGCCCTGCTCCAGCCATTCCTGTTGGTGTCTGTGTCTCTGAACTCAGTGGGTTATTTTATTTAAAGATTTTTTATTTATGTGAAGAGTTACAGAGAGGTAGAAGCAGAGAGAGGTCTTCCATCCACTGGTTCACTCCCTAAATGGCCATAACAGGTGGAGTTGGGCTGATCTGATGCCAGGAGCCAGGAACTTCTTCCAGGTCTCCCACATAGGTGCAGAGGCCCAAGCACTTAGACCATCTTCCACTGCTTTCCCAGGCCATCATCAGGGAGCTGGATTGGAAGTGGAGCAGCCAAGACCTGAACCTGTGCCCATATGGGTTGCTGGCATTTACGGTGGTGGCTTTACCCACTATGCCACAGCGCCGGCCCCACTCAGTGGGTTATTCAAAGTATGGGTTTTCCCTCTGTTGGTTGTTTCTGGAGAGAATGGCCAGCTGCCCATTGAAAGAGAGGTCTCTCTTGTTAGAGCTGGTTCATACGCAGTGTTGGTGATTGGGCCGATGGACCCTGGACCTGGAGGCAAAGGAAGCCTCGATGCTTATGACCCCGTGATTGCCTCCCCCGTGGGAGGGCCCAGTACACAGTGATTAAGTGTCTCTGTATTGTGTGCATAATTAATTCATCTGTATCTGTACACTTTGTTCCTATAAGGTGGTGTATGTGGGAGTCGTAGGTTTATTTCTGTCTGTGTTGTTTTATGATGTGTATTTGTCTATGTAAGTAAACATATTGATACACATTTGTGTGTAAGTAGACATTTCTGGAAATAATGACAGTAACACTTCCTTCTTAGGATATCGAAGCCACCCAGATGCAAAGATACAGCTATACAGGTAAAGGACATTTATTTATATTTTATAGACATTTATGAGTATTTATACAGTTAAATACATGTCTTTAGAACATTCCCCTGTGTGGATATAGGTAAGTATTTGTCCCAGATTGTTGTTTTTGCTATAGACATAATACAAGCTTTAACCTCCCATTGGTGAGCCACAGCCCTACTGAGGTTGTAGGGACTTTTGCTGACAGGGGCCCTTGCCTGGCCGCAGCCGTAGATGTAAAACTGGCTCTTGGCCTTGTGCATGGCTGGTTTGTGTCCACAGCTTCCTCCAGGGGTTGGGACTTACCACAGTCCAACAGCGGGGAATCTTACATTAGTCACACCTCACGCATCCCCTCGGGAAGGCCCACCCTTTGGCCTCTGGCCCAGTGATGTGGGCAGTCATGTTCCCCAAGATGGTCTGGAATTCTAGGTGTACACGGGTGTGCCAGTGTCTATGAAACAGGTCTGGAGAAATACGGGGACGCCCTACAGATGGTGCTGAGGAGAGAAGCAGAGACGTTTCATACTCAGTTTACAGATCGTACAAGCTACCTTGATTTTTGTAGCTTTTTGGAGACATTTTTGTTAGTATTTTGCTCGACCTGTGACTATTTTTGTGTGGTCCGGTAAATGGCCTTTGGTAACATTGACATTCCAGCTGCTCTCTGCAGATGTAAAGCGCATAGCGCAGGCGTCCGCACACTGACAGTGTCTTTGCTTCTTTTGGTCTCCGTCTGCAGCGATTCACCTGGCGTCCAGCAGGGGGCGGCGGGCAGAAAGTCCGCAATTGTGAGCCTCCCGCCCGGTGGGCCCGCGCCTGGAGGTGGTGCCCAGGGCCCCTTGGCTGCGCGGTGGCTGCGCATGTGCGCATGAGCGCGTGTCTCGGGCAGCTCCCCAGGCTGCACCCCCCTGAAGAGCACGCCCTGGGTTCCTTTTCGTTGCCACCTGCTGCTCCTGACCGAGCCGCTGATGCCTGAGGGGGAACTAGCAGCAGAGAAGCGCTGTGTTCCAGAATGTTCTCAGGTGGGCGGTTCTTTACTATCTCGCTTCATGTTTTACCAGATTTACTTTGCAAGAGTATCCATCCTTGAGGGGTGTAATGGGTGGACATCGGGTCAGACCATGAAGTTGCTGCGGATCCAGGATGGTTGTGGGAAAATCCTGACAGGCCCGGGACCGCAGACCCAGAGCAGGAAAGGACACCCCCCCCCCCCCCCCCCCCGTGGTCCCTGGGCCCCTGCAGTGCTGAGGCGGGGCGGGCGGCTGCCCTCAGAGCCTGCGCTGAAGGGGAATGGAGTCCCGAGCACCCCGCTGCTGTCGTTGTTAACTGCTTGCTTTTCCGTCAAGGCTCATGCGGCTGTGAGTATCTTTAAAAGCAGTTGTTGGCCGGCACTGCGGCTCACTAGGCTAATCCTCCACCTTGTGGCGCTGGCACACCAGGTTCTAGTCCCGGTCGGGGTGCCAGATTCTGTCCCGGTTGCCCCTCTTCCAGGCCAGCTCTCTGCTGTGGCCAGGGAGTGCAGTGGAGGATGGCCCAAGTGCTTGGGCCCTGCACCCCATGGGAGACCAGGAGAAGCACCTGGCTCCTGCCTTCAGATAGGCGCGGTGCGCCGGCCACGGCGGCCATTGGAGGGTGAACCAACAGCAAAGGAAGACCTTTCTCTCTCACTGTCCACTCTGCCTGTCCAAAAAAAAAAAAAAAAAAGAATGTTTTTGTTCACGCAGACATCAGGACAGCTGTGAGGAGTATTATATAGACTATGACACCAACAGAGGGACTTCTGATTAGTTACATCAGAATACACATTGTCTTATACCCAGGGATTCTTGTGGGAGAATTTTCCTAAATGATTTAATTCTTCAAACTAATTTCAGGTAAATCTGGATTTGTTAGTTTTTCTCATCTTTATTTTGGTAATTCTCACATGGGAAAATACATTTGCAGTTTTTTAAATAGACTTGTTTTGTTTGTTTGTTTGTTTGTTTTACCAAGTGAGAGGGATAGGATGGGAAGAAAACACATGCCCTCCACAGTTTATGTCCCCTGATGCCTGCAGGGGCCGGGGTGGACTGGGGCCAAGTCAGGAGCTGGGGGCTCAGTCCAGGAGTGACAGGGACCCGGCTACCGGAGCCGTGACCTGCTGCTTCCAAGTGCCGGCGGGAACGGAAGCCGGGCCCGAGTGCATGGCATGTGAGCCTCTTGTCCTGTGTCTCAACTGCTAGGCCAAGAACCACTCCAGGTTTATTTACTTTTTTACATTCTTAGAAGAGTTTTTAAAAAGATTTATTTTATTTATTTGAAAGACAGAGTTACAGAGAGAGGTAGAGCCAGAGAGAGAGACACACACACACACATACACAGAGAGAGAGAGAGAGAGAGAGTGGGTTTGTGCATCGCTGGTTCACTCCCCAAATGACGGTGACAGCCAAAGCTGAGCTGATCCGGAGCCAGGAGCCTCCTCCGGGTCTCCCATGTGTGTGCAGGGGCCCAAGGACTTGGGCCATCTTCTGCTGCCTTCCCAGGCCATAGCAGAGAGCTGGATCGAAAGCGGAGCAGCCGGGACCTGAACCGGCGCCCATATAGGATGCCGGTGCTGCAGGCCGCAGCTTTAACCCGCTGCACCACGCCACCAGCCCAGGAGATTTTCTAAGAGTGAATATTGGATTCCTCGTCTGCAGTAGTTCGGTGTGGTCCTTCTTCATCACTTACGTCAGGGAGTTCTGACCGTGTCCGTGTGCTGTTCCCTGACTTTATCTGCTGGCCTGTGCCTGCCTGTGTGACTCACTGAGCCTCCACTCAAGTGACTTTCTGGCGTTCTTTCAGCAGTTTGCAGCTGTCCCCTCTCCTGGGGCCGTTACTGGGATTTGCTGTGCATTTTACGGCCCGTGTTCCTCGCCGGTGTGCTCACTGGGCACTGGGAGAGCAGCCCCACACCCTCCTCCACACAGTCTTCTCGGGGAATGTCCACAGAACCCAGCACGATCAGCTGGAGGCGAGACAGAGGCTCAGCCCAGGGGCGCTCCGGGAGGCCGGGCGCAAGTGCCCCCCACTGCTCCCTCCCCATTGCACAGGGGAGACCTCAGTCCTGAACCTCACTGAAACAGCCAGGATCGGCCCTGGCTCTGAGGGCAGGCCTTGACCCTCCCCTTGTCCCTGCTGGCCCCTGAGTCAGGCTCTGCGGGCTGCCCACTGTGCAGGAAGAGCCAGCCCAGACCTGACCCCAGGAGGGCGGCGTGAGCAGGTCAGAGGCCAGGTGGCCAGGGCACTGCGCAGCCGCACGCTCCCTCCTGCGGAGCCGGGGGCGAAGGCGGCCTTGTCTGTGGTGGCTAACCCCGATGGGCGCGGGGGTGATGCACGGAAGCTGCTCTTCTCGCCCCGTGTGAGGGCGACTGCTCCGGGGCGTGCCTGGTGCTTCAGCCGCTGCCGACTCTGGACTTCAGAGCGTTGGGGCAGTAGCTGCAGTGTCAGTCGGTGTGACTGTGGAACAGGCAGCGCGGGCTTCCTGCTGCGCCCTCGTCCTGTGAATTTAAGAAAATGGGAATCCCTGCTGTGACGCTGGTGCTCTCTCAGACACTGCCGCCACCATGGAGGCCACGGTTTAGAAGTGACCTTGGCTTCTGGCACACGAGTCAGATGGCTTTACTCAGCCAGTCACGGAAATACTCATCCTAGACCTGTCGTCCCATTACCTGGCTCCTCACACGCAGGCTTTTGTAAAACATTGTTCTCTCCCAGAGGCAGTGGTTCCCACAGAATTTACTGTTTGTGAGCGTGTGGGTATTTCCTCTGGAACACTGCTGCAGCTTTCAGCCAGAGACCTCCCAGACATCCTGGCAGTGGCTCTGTGCACATTGTCGCTTTGCATTAGTTTACTGACCAACTGTCTGAATGCCGGTTGTGTCCGGGCACACACTCAGGTTAGACGTTTTCTGTTTGTGCAGATCCCACAGGGAAGGCTCCTGCGACGGACAGAGCAGCCTGAGTCCCGCTCGGGCCCTGGAGGGCGCCCACGGGGAATTCTCCGGCTCTCACGAGGACTTAGCTGCTGCGTTCACACGTGGACCTGCTGCTTCCAGACTGTCCGGGTCATGCACATGTGCACTGGGAGCCCAGACCCGTGCCTCCGCTGCGGCCCTGCCTGCGTTTCTGAAGTCCCGGGCCGCACCACGCCATCCATGCGTCCTTCCGACCTGTGCTGGCCTCCTGCCACAGGTCACCTGTCCCTGGTGCGGAGCGTCAGCGGCGGGAAGGGCCTGTGTGAGTAACTTGTCTTGCTGAGAAGCGATGCAGGGGTGTTTCAGATGCAGCTGTGATCCCGCAGCCGCCCAGCAGAGAGAGCCCATGGCGAGCGAGCAGCAGAGCGTCCCGGTCAGGAGGCCAGGAGTGCGCATGTGCAGCCCTGGAGACCACTAAGAATAGAAACTGAGCAGATTCCGTACTATTTTTAAAGATTTATTTATTTATTTATTTATTTGAAAGAGTTACACAGAGGAGAGGCACAGAGAAAGAGACGGCTTCCAACTGCTGGTTCACTCCCCAGTTGGCCACAGCGGCCGGAGCTACACCCATCTGAAGCCAGGAGCCTGGAGCCTGGAGCTTCATCCAGGTCTCCCACCTGGGTGCAGGGGCCCAAGGTCTTAGGCATCTTCCACTGCTTTCCCAGGCCATAGCAGGGAGCTGGATTGGAAGTGGAGCAGCCAGGACTCGAACCGGCGCCCATATGGGATGCCAGCACTGCAGGCGGCGGCTTCACCTGCTACAGCACAGCACTGGCCCTGTTTCTGTACTATTTGAGAGAAATAGTTACATACGAAGACAACCAGAGTAAATCTGAGGTATAAATGAAATTCTGGGGGGAAAACCAAAATGGGGAAACAAAGGTAATGCTGAAAATAATTCAGTTTTTTCCGTCAATGGAAATGTACTTTAGACTGCTGGGTTTTGAGAAAACTCCTCTGGGCATCTAGACGGAAAGAAGTGACCTAGAAAGGTGTGCATTAGCAGGACGCTGGACTGGAAGCAGAGAACCTTGGACTCAGACTGTTTGCGTCGGGGTCCCGGGCTGGGGTTCTTCCAGAGTCTTCCCTCCACACAGAGACAAAGATGCATAGGAAAGCAGGATTTATGGAAAGCACAGGAAAAGTGCACGTTTAAGAGCTAAGCCAGGCCAGCGAGAGAGAGAGAGAGAGAGGAAGGGGGGAGGGAGAGAGAGAGGAAGGGGGAGAGAGAGAGAGAGAGAGAATAGAAAAAAGACTTCAGCGCTGCAGAAACCCCCCGCGAGGCTCAGGCCCTGCTTTCACGTGATTGGTGGATGTGGGAGGTGGCGTCTGGGGCAGGACTTAACTGAATTTGAAAATACCGGTTGTCAGGCACCAGAGGGGATGGGAGTGGGAGTGCTGGCCGTGGTAACTCAGTAGGGTGGCGTGCCCATGACCGGAGGTCATCGCGGGGCGCCCTGCAGCCGTATTGCGCATTCCAGCTGGCGCTGGGGGAACGTTGGCTGCACTGAGGAACTTGCTGGCTCTTGGTATTTGGAAGCTGGTGGGTTGGTGGCGCGTGGGAGGTGGGGTGGGTGCTGTGCAGAAAGGGAGCTCTGGGGTGCCAGCTGGGCCGGGCTGTCAGGCGGGGTCAGCTGCAGCTGCTGTCACCTGGCGAGTCCCCCCCCTGGGGCCGTCCCATGATGGGCTGGGCCAGAGCTGGCAGGTGGTGGGCGGCACTGCTGCGTGTGTTGGCTGAGCTGCCCAGTAGTGGCCCACAGTGCCACGGGAGTTGGCTGGGGCTGGCTAACCTCGGCTCCTCCCCTTGCTACCTCCCTCCCCCCTGGTTGCCCGGAACCAGGCCCTCAGATGTGGGTGTGGGCGTCCCACCCCTGCCCCAGGTAGGCTTCAGTGAGGAAGCGGTCAGGTGGTGCTCGCGGGAGGACGCTGTCCCCTGGTGAGTTTCATGCGAGAAAAGCAGCTAGTGCTGGGTGACCGACTCCAGAGAAGACTCCACCACGGCACACTGAAAGGAGACTCTCGGTGTGCAGCATGGCTCTGAAGTACCTGGACAGGGCTGGATCCCGGTCACCGGGAGCTCAGCGGCGGGAGTGAGGGTACTTGATGGAGGGCTGCTGCGCACAGAGGGGCGCTGTGAGGGGCGACGTGGCTGCTCTGCGTCTCCTCCTGTGTTGTTCAAGCTTCCGATGGCTTGGGAAGCTCCGGTTCCTCTGAGACTCGGACTCCACATTGCAGACTTCCAAGGAATTAAAGGGATCCGTCCCTAGATACAGAGCAGGGATCACCAGGCAGGGCACAGAGGAGGCAGGAGGGCTTCACTGGGCTCGGTGTGCGGACTGGGAGGCCCCTGAGGCCCTGGAAGTGACTGGACCCCGACCTTCCAGTGCTCAGGGCCACAGGTCCCTGGGGCCTGGCCGCTTCCTTCTGCTGACAGTGCTGTCCACCAGCAGAGGGGAGAGAGCCATGCTGCACAAGGGAGTCCCCCTAGGCACTCGCCTGGGCAGCCCTCGGGGGCTCGGCCCCCTCGGCAGTGAACCTGAAGCCCAGGAAAGGGGAGGTCTCTGGGCCCTGGGGAGAAGCCGAGGCCCCCTGGGCCCTCGGAGGAGCAGGAGGTTGAGGACAGAGGGCGGAGTGCTGGCCCTGCCGCCCCAGCTGACCCCAAGGGACCCCTCCTGGAGCTGCGTGCTGACTGTCGAAAAGTCGCCCGAGCTCTTTGGTTTTCTCTCCCCGTTCTGTTGGAAAATAATTTTGTTGTGTTGGAGACACTGAAGTATATTTCAGCCCCAGCAGAGCACTTCTGCACGCCCCAAACACTGCAGGGCAGGAGAAGCCAAGGCCAGCGTCACCCTTCCCTGGGGCCTCGCTCTCGGGCTCGGTGGGGCCCGGCTCACCTGCTCCTGCTGCAGCTCCGGCACGGACAGTCGGGTTGCTCAGCGTGACGTCACAGTGCAGCCTGGGGGTCAGGAGTGAGGGCGCAGCTGATGACGTGGGAGAGGGGGCTGCAGAGAGACCGCACCAGCATCCCGGGTGCAAGTGTGTCCACTGCTGTAATCATCACATGTGGGAAAGGGAGTGAGGAGGGGCAAGGACAGGAGCGGAGGAGGAGGAGGAAGGCGGATCAGGAGGAATCCAGCTCCCTGCAAACCTCCACTTCCTCCTGTCTTCTCATTGCCATGTCGCCTTCTGCGTGCAGGAGCAGTGGCTGTGGCAGGGCGCCCTGGGAGTGAGAGGGAGGGCAGGGTGGACTTGAGGTACAGGCTCAGGCCCCGCTGCTCATCGGATGACGTAGCCCAACCTCACGACCCTCTTGCGTCCTCACCTCTACACCCCTCTCCCAGTGCCTGGTGCTTCACCTTGAAATGAATGCATGGTCCCTGCACTCACACGTATTCCTCCACCCCTCCCATTGCATCCCTGCGGCTAGGAAGGGACTCCCGTGTCATCCTCCGTCTCCCTGACTCTGTGTGGGAAGCCGTCTTGATTCTCTCGTGTTTCCTTCCTCGATGAAGTGTCAGGGCTTCCACAGCAGGGCTTGTGCAGATCAAGGGCACTCACTAGAGTGTTCACTGAGCAGGTGGACTGGGAGGGCAGGGCACCTGCGGCCTGGGGATAGGAGAGATCTCATCTGGGCATGCGTGGAGTGGGGGGAACAGGGAAGCTCCGGATGGCCAGAGCAGTGATGGAGAAGCAGGGACGCGGCCCTGACGCCCAGAGGCCCTGTGCTGACCCTGGGCCGTCCCAGGAGGGGAGGTCATGGAGCCGTGAGGCCGCTGTGTGCTGCAAGCCCAGCCGCGCCTGCACAGATGTCCTCTGGGCTCCCTGCCTGGCCACGGGGTCTCCAGGGGAGCTGGACGTGGGGCTCTGAGTGGACGCCAATGCCAGGAACCAGACGTGGGGGAGATTGGAAGAACTCGGGGTTGTGCTTGCCCCCAACTTCTCTGAGAGGCTGGGGCCTCTCCCTTCACCCCAGAGGAAGTGTTCTTCAGCATCCCCCACCACGGGAGGACCTTGTGACCCCAGAGGAGACAGGACAGAGCACAGAGGAGCTGCCCCAAGCCCTGGACGCAGAGGAAGGAGCCCGCTGCTCCCCACCGCCCGGAACTCGCTGCAGGAAGGCGTGGCTCCCGCAGGTGCCCTGGTGGGCGTCCTGTCAGCCCCGCCCTTCTGTCTCCTGCTGCTTGAGTTGAGGATGCGGCAAGAGGCCCCTGGGACCACACGCCCTGGGCCTTGGACGCGGGCTCTCCAGCCTTCAGAACGGTGAGAAGTTGATTTCTGTTCCTAACAGTTACTGGGTCGTCAGGAATTTCTGATAGCAGTGAAAACGGGCATAGACAGCAGTCAGCACCAGCCCACACACCAGTCTCGTGGACCGAATTCCGAGGGTGCTGCTGCAGCGGCACCCACGGCTGTGGGATTTGCTGCAGTGCAGGCAGGACACACTTCCAGGAGAGGCAGGTCTGTGAATACCAGAGCAAGAAAGGAGCAGGGAGACTCTGGTTGACGGGAACTCTCCTACTGTATCATCAAGACAGAGAAGGAGGGGCCGGCGTTGTAGAATAGTGGGCTAAGTTGCTACTCTAGAGAACTGAGTCCCACCCTGGAGTGCCTGGATTGGGAGTCCTTCCAGCTTCCTGCTCACGCACACACGGGCAGGCAGGTGATGGCTTCACTGTCCGGGCACGTGCCACTCAGGTGCGACACCTGGATTCTTTTCCCTGGCTCCAGGCTTCATGGCTGTTTGGGGAGGGAACAGCTAGAATCCAAGGAGAGCTGGATTCACCGCCCTGGCCCTACCTGTTACAGTCATTTGGGAAGTGAACAAGTAGGTAGGAGGCGTCTCTCTCTCTCTCTCTCAACTAAAATGAAAATAAACAAATGAATGAATAAATAAAAGATGCCCTTGGCCATAAAAACGAGCGGCAAGGACAGGTGGACGCGGGCTCAGCCCCCGCTACTGGGCTGACCCTCGCCTGTGCCTGAGCCCCCGCCCTGCGCTACCACCGCAGGGTTCCCGCTGCACTGGTCCCAGCTCCACTTCCAATCCCAGGTTCCTGCTAATGCACACCCTGGCCGGCAGTGATGGCTCCTATACGTGGGTCCCCGCCACACCCATGGCTGGGCAGACTGGTTCATGGTGCCCACTTTGGCCCGGCCAGGCCCTGGCTCTGGTGGGCAATTGTGAAACAGGAAGAAGCAAGAGCTGTGTGTCTGCCTGTGTCCTTTTCCTCTAAGGAGTGGAATGGTGACTTTTCAGACGGGAGGAGAGGGTAGAATTATGTACATGTACACACGGATGGGGCTGACGGAGTGTATTTTTAGAGTTGAAAGTGGCACTAGGCACTGGGGAATCTTTTCTGGAAAATGCATTTTTTCAAACAATTGCACAGTCACTGTGCATGGACTCACACAGAACCCTCCCAACGCCGGCGCACCTGCTCCCCCGCCCCCATCGGCGTGACACAGCTGCACCCCCGGTTCTTTGCTGCCCTCTCCACTTCTCTCCCCACCCCCCAGCCCTCGTGTGCAGAGGCCTCGGGAATCCTGCTCTCTTCAGAGGGAGCAGCAGTGAACCCCCTCGCGGACTTTGGTTGTTCTTCGGCCGTGGAGGGTCCAGAGTATGTATGGTTTTCACTTGCTCTTGCGTCCACCTGGGATCAGGAAGGGGATTGATGGGAAATCCAGGTCGCACTTGTGCAGGTCTTTCTTCTCTCAGTGACTTTAGAAACCGAGCCGGGCACGGAGGCTGAGGCCGTGGTCCCGGGGTGAAGCGCAGGTGGCGCCTGCATCCAGGTGTGAGCTGCTCACAGACAGCGTCACTGCCCACGTTGCTCGGCAGATAGCAGATTCGTTTCCCGGAGTGAAGACTGAGGAAAAGGCTCCGTAGCGTGTAGATAACTGACGCTGCCATGTCCTGTTAGTATCTGGCGTCTGGTCTCAGTACATAATGCATGTGCACTTGAGTCCCCCTCCCCAGGAAAAGGCTTAGGCCACCTGAAATAGGCACGTGCATACTGCCATTTGTGAAGAAGGGTGGCTGAAAACAAACAGCATAAGAGGTGTGGCCTCCTCCCCTGGCCTGGCCCTGGGGATCCCTTCCACCAGGTCCTTGGGGACAGGCAGGAGCTCACAGGGTAACGGTCCATGGATCGGCCTTGTGGAAGAGTCAGGCAGGCAGCCTTTATGCTGCGGACATGGGACGAGATTGCGTGGAGGTGGTCGGTGAAGAGCCCCAGACTCGGCCACTGCCGGGCCGTCCTCCTCGGTGTAGTCCAGAGGCCCCAGGAGAGGATCGGGGAAGAGAGGAGAAACAGCCCTGGCCGTCTTGCTCAGGACAGCCAGGCAGGAGGAAGGAGCCAGCGTAGGGGCTGGTGAACGCTCTGTGCACTGTGCAACACACGAGGGCGTCTCTCCCTGCTGCTGGCCACGCTGCGGGCAGGGGATCCCGTCCCCAGACCGCTCAGCTCGCGTGGGTCTACATAAACTGCTACCACGTTTACCATCGATGCCATCGGGCACCGTTTAACTGTTACGGTGTGTATATGTCACATTGTTCTGTGATTTGTGAGTAGATTTCAGGGACATTAATTACAAAGACAGTACCCCGTGTCCATCGCCACCACGTGCACCCACAGTGTGCATTACACCCAACACAAGCACTGAACTACAGCACAAACCTCCCTCTCCCTCCAGCCCGGGGCAGTCTCTACCTCCCCTCCCTTTGAATTTGTCAGCTGTAGATGTTGTAGATGTTGTGTTGGAAGGAAATGCTCACCGACTTTCCGTGTCTGCCGTGTTTCAGTAGCGTGTCTGACTGTGTCCATCCGTGTTGAATTCTGAATAAAAACTCAACTCATGCTTGTGTCTTCATAGCCTCCCTTGTACTTGCAGACCGCGTGTACACTGTCCATTCTGGGAGTGGAGTGAGGACGCCAGGAAGCCGCTTCCTGGTTGCCAGGGCCTGGGGCTGAAGCGGATGGAAGTGGGCTGGTGGAGGGGTTCCATTTCCTTTGGTGACAAAGTGCTTCTTAACGTCTCGGTGCAGCCTGCACATCTGGTGGACACAATCAAATCCTGCCATTGCATGGGGAACAGGTGGCTTTAGGGGAAACTCATTTCTGTGTCCACGAAATAAAAAGCAATCAGCGTTCCAGGTCTCACTCGGACATAGTAAGAGGGTGAATGTCTTCACTATTACGCTCACAATCACAAAGCTGAACAAACCGGAAGGGACCCCCTGCAACTTCCGCCCCCAGCAGGCAAACGCCGAGGACCACAGCTGAAACCCGCTAGGGCGGGAGACTGTGGAACCTGTCCCCGTGGGAATATCCAAATGGGAATGTGGGTGGATCGCCAGGGCTGCGTGTGCGCTAGCTGCAGAGCGAAAACCCTGACATTGCGGTCTAAGATGGCCGCCGTATTCTCATAGGGTTAACGCCATGGTGAAGGGCAGAGGAAAACCTGGGTCCAGGTAGAGGGAAAACGCCCATCTGTAGATACTGGGCGGGGAGGGGGGCAGCCAGGTTGACTACGCCCGGGTGATCCTCTCACCAAGTCACGGCCCCCTGGGAAACTGCAGAGCCTTGCGTGACCTGGACGGGGCTCCCATCTGGCTTTGCCGTCTGAGAAGAAAAGCACAAAGTGATGACTCTGGGGGAGCGTCCAGGGACTCAGTGGACAGACCGTGGGCATCCACTCAGGAGACGCTAGCATCTCCTTCCCCCACCTCGTACCCAGAACCATGGGGCTGTGGTGTAACAACAGAAAACAGGGCTGAGGGAGCAGCGAGGGGGCTGCGTGGGACGTGCCGAGGAGACCCAGAGATCTGGGGCAGCAATTCAGCCAGGGGGGGCAGGAACTGGAGCTTCAGGCACTGCAGGTGCAGCGAACACTAAAGCCCACCTCCCGGCAATGTGCAGGCGTCCCACGCCCAGGGGCCGGCACTCAGCTCGCAGCTAAGTCTCGGGTTAAGAAGCCCGCACCACGTCAGAGTGTCTGGGTTCACCCAGACTCTGCCTCCTCCCCATTTCCTACCAACATGGACTCTTGGACGCGGCAGGGATGGCTCAGGTGGTTGGGTCCCTGCCCAGTGTGGGAACCTGGACTGAAGGGTGTTCTGAAAATTCACACACACTGAAAGGCTACGCAACACACGCCACAAATAAACGAGTCCGAGAGGAAACCTCAGTGGGGATTTCACAGCCAACAGTTGCACGGAGAAACCCAGCAGCTTGTGGGCTTGCTCCTGGTGACGACGGCAAGGAGCTTCATGGCTGCAATTCTCAGCAGTCACCGTCACCGTCACGGTCACCGTCCCGTGTGCTGTATCTGACCCAGTGCCCTGCTCTGAGGTCTGAGTGTCCCTGGGGAGCCCATGTCCCCGTGTGCTGTGTCTCAGTGCCCTGCTCTGGGGTCTGAGTGTCCCTGGGGAGCCCGTGTCCCCGTGTGCTGTATCTCAGTGCCCTGCTCTGGGGTCTGAGTATCCCTGGGGAGCCCGTGTCCCCGTGTGCTGTATCTCAGTGCCCTGCTCTGGGGTCTGAGTGTCCCTGGGGAGCCCGTGTCCCCGTATGCTGTGTCTCAGTGCCCTGCTCTGGGGTCTGAGTGTCCCTGGGGAGCCCGTGTCCCCGTGTGCTCTATCTGACCCAGTGCCTGCTCTGGGGTCTGAGTGTCCCTGGGGAGCCCCGTGTCCCCGTGTGCTGTGTCTCAGTGCCCTGCTCTGGGGTCTGAGTGTCCCTGGGGAGCCCGTGTCCCCGTGTGCTGTGTCTCAGTGCCTGCTCTGGGGTCTGAGTGTCCCTGGGGAGCCCGTGTCCCCATGTGCTGTGTCTCAGTGCCCTGCTCTGAGGTCTGAGTGTCCCTGGGGAGCCCGTGTCCCCGTGTGCTGTGTCTCAGTGCCCTGCTCTGAGGTCTGAGTGTCCCTGGGGAGCCCGTGTCCCCGTGTGCTGTGTCTCAGTGCCCTGCTCTGGGGTCTGAGTGTCCCTGGGGAGCCCGTGTCCCCGTGTGCTGTATCTGACCCAGTGCCTGCTCTGAGGTCTGAGTGTCACTGGGGAGCCCGTGTCCCCGTGTGCTGTATCTCAGTGCCCTGCTCTGGGGTCTGAGTGTCCCTGGGGAGCCCCGTGTCCCCGTGTGCTGTGTCTCAGTGCCTGCTCTGAGGTCTGAGTGTCACTGGGGAGCCCGTGTCCCCGTGTGCTGTGTCTCAGTGCCCTGCTCTGGGGTCTGAGTGTCCCTGGGGAGCCCGTGTCCCCGTGTGCTGTGTCTCAGTGCCTGCTCTGGGGTCTGAGTGTCCCTGGGGAGCCCGTGTCCCCGTGTGCTGTATCTCAGTCCCTGCTCTGGGGTCTGAGTGTCCCTGGGGAGCCCGTGTCCCGTGTGCTGTATCTCAGTCCCTGCTCTGGGGTCTGAGTGTCCCTGGGGAGCCCCGTGTCCCCGTGTGCTGTGTCTCAGTGCCCTGCTCGGGGTCTGAGTGTCCCTGGGGAGCCCGTGTCCCCGTGTGCTGTGTCTCAGTGCCTGCTCTGAGGTCTGAGTGTCCCTGGGGAGCCCGTGTCCCCGTGTGCTGTGTCTCAGTGCCTGCTCTGGGGTCTGAGTGTCCCTGGGGAGCCCGTGTCCCCGTGTGCTGTATCTCAGTCCCTGCTCTGGGGTCTGAGTGTCCCTGGGGAGCCCGTGTCCCCGTGTGCTGTGTCTCAGTGCCCTGCTCTGAGGTCTGAGTGTCCCTGGGGAGCCCGTGTCCCCGTGTGCTGTGTCTCAGTGCCCTGCTCTGAGGTCTGAGTGTCCCTGGGGAGCCCCATGTCCCCGTGTGCTGTATCTGACTCAGTCCCTGCTCTGGGGTCTGAGTGTCCCTGGGGAGCCCGTGTCCCCGTGTGCTGTGTCTCAGTGCCCTGCTCTGGGGTCTGAGTGTCCCTGGGGAGCCCCGTGTCCCCGTGTGCTGTATCTGACCCAGTGCCTGCTCTGGGGTCTGAGTGTCCCTGGGGAGCCCTGCTCCTCCTCTCCAGAGAACCAGAGCCCCGTGCCTTCCTCCCTTCTGTCTCCCTCGCCTGCCTTTTGCTGTCACGTGGGGCTCCCTGTGCAGCTGGGGCGCCCGCCTGGCTCCCCTCTCCTGTCATAACCTGGTGCTTCCCTGGACCCCTCCTGGCCTCCGTAAGCGTCACCTCCACATA